CGACCTAACCTGACCAAACATGACCTAGGGGGACTGGTCATGTTCCGACCAGTTAGGTCTCCTGACATAACTCAACCAATCTCGACCAAATCCAACTTAAGTGGATTGGTCAGGGTTAAGACCAGTATCAGACCAGTTAGGTAATTTGACCTAACTTGACCAAACACGACCTAGGGGGACTGGTCATGTTTTGACCAGTTTGGTAATCTGACGTAACCCGACCTAACCTGACCTAACACGACCTAAAGGGACTGGTCATATTGCGACCAATTTGGTAATTTGACGTAACCCGACCTAATCTGACCTATCTTGACCTAATGTGACTGGTCGTGCGACGTCGCTGGTTTCTAGGGTTACCTCCATCTTCTTCTATATGTTGATAATAAATTAAAATATAGGTAAACAAAGTTAAAAATGTATTTTTTATAGTTGAACAAGAACAAGATTCAACGATCAGGTGTCCCGCGTACAGCTGTACAAATAGTTGGGTTTCCTAGTTGCAGACCTGGAACTAGCAAAGAGATAGCCAGACCAACAGCGATGTACCCAATAGAGTTACCAAATCACAATGATATTGCAGCGTCCAGCAAAGTGAGTTTAAAATAACTTTTATTATCAGAAGGGTTCATCATAATAATTAGCATATTTCTTCATGAGCAATATATATTTAAAAGGTTGGAGTGAAGTCAAATGTTAAAGTGAGTTTGTTTTAATAAGTCTAAAAACAATAATTAGCATATTTCTTTATAAAAATACATATTTTTAGATTGGTGACAAGGCATATGAGGTCCCAAAACAGAACGATATTGCAGCGGATGTCGTAGTGAGTATATTTATTTGTTAAAATTATCATAATTATTAAATATAATAATCAGCACTCGGCCCAGAATTAAGCTTAACCTAACCTAACTATAAATTAATAAAAAATAAATAATGTTGCTGAAAAATATGGTACATGTACAACATAGATAGGAGGGGGGGGGGTCCAAAAATTGTCCTAGCCACAGTGCGTGGACCAGAAATAAGCTTAATCTAACCAAAATCTAAATTAATCAAAAATAAATATCAATAATTTTACTGAAAAATATGGTCGATGTACAAAATAGATAGGAGGGGGGGGGGTCAAAAAATTGTTCTCTAGGACAGACCCTGTATCTTAAAGCTTGACGACTGTAAAGAACTCAATTCAATTATTACGCATGAAGTTTACTGAATTTTTACATTATAAAAAAACTAAATTAACGCAGGTCTTCGGTTCAAGTTTGATAATAATAATTAGCATATTTCTTTATATAAAGATATATATTTTTAGATTGGTGAGAAGTTATATGAGGTCCCGAAACAGAACGATATTGCAGCAAATATCGTGTGAGTATATTTGTTTAATCAAGATTATTAAATATAATAATCAAATTTCAAGTTTAAGAATAATAATTGCATATTTATTCATGAAAAATATATTTTTTAGATTGGTGAGAATAAATATGAGGTCCCAACACAGAACAAGGTTGGCGAGAAGTAAAATGAGTCTGTGTACGACTATGGTGGAGGGTCTGGCGATAAGGGATATGCAGACGTAAGTATTCATTAAAACATATCGTTATTTGATTAATAACTATAATTATTATCCTATGAAAAATTTCTATATTAAATGCTTAATTTTATATATTTCTTAGGCACAAAGACAGTCGCAACAGTTCCGCTTTTCTCCAAGGGATGTAAACAGATATCATTATAATGTAAGTATAAAAACATTCAAATATTTATTTTTATTTGATTAACTTTTGATAACTTTTAATGTGATCTTATCGGGAATTAATGATTTCAATCCGAGCCAATGTAACAAAAATAACAAATTTATGTGGATCCGGGCTGAAAAACCTAAGTACACAGTGAATTGAAACCCCACTTTGCATAAAGGAGCCTAAAGCAATCCCTAAAACTAATGATTTGATTTGATTTGATTTAACTTTTTTAGGAGATGAGAATAAGGATGGAGACAGAGTTTCAGAGCGAATCTGCAGATATCCACGGAAATGAATTTCATGATATGGACACAGGCAAAGTAAGTATACAAAATTCAAATATTTATTAATTCAATAAATTCAAATTAAATAATTCAAATTAATTAATTCAAATTAATTGATTTTATATAAACTAGCTTGGGAACCCAGCCCTTTCCCAGGTTCTAGAAGTTACTCCGCTGTTTACCCGCACTTGAATGATTTTACTAAGAAAATAAAGTTTTGCTATTCAAGCTGACCCACTCAACTTAGAATCTAAAACCCAAGCTAAGGACATTCTCAAATCAAAATTTGAGGCAAATTGGTCCAGGGGTTCTTGAGTTATGATCGGACAAACAAACAAACAAACAAACACCCAAACAGACAAACAGAGATTACAACTTTATATATATAGATGATATTTTTAAGGTAAAGAGGAATATGAATGGATCAGCACTGACGGGAAGACCAGTATTAAGCAGCATTATAAATCAGTTTTAGTTCAGGTAATTCATGACTATCATATTCTGGTGTCTACGTGTATGTGGATGTAGAATATTACTATAAACTGATGTCTATGTGTATGTATATGTAGAATATTACTCTTATACTGGTGTCTACATGTATGTAGGTGTGTAATATTACTCTATACTGGTGTCTACATGTATGTTTAATGTATATGTATAATATTACTCTACACTGGTGTCTACGTCTATGTATATGTATAATATTACTCTTATACTAGTGTATACATTTATGTAGGTGTATAATATTACTCTTATACTGGTGTCTGCATGTATGTAGGGGTATAATATTACTCTATACTGGTGTCTACATGTATGTTTAATGTATATGTATAATATTACTCTACACTGGTGTCTACGACTATGTAAATGTATAATATTACTCTTATACTGGTGTCTGCATGTATGTAGGTGTATAATATTACTCTATACTGGTGTCTACATTTATGTAGATGCAGAATATTATTCTATACTTGTATCTATGTGTATGTATATGTAGAATTCTACTCTATACTGGTGTCTACGTGTATGTAGAATATTACTCTCTACTGCAGGTGTGTATGTGTATGCAGATATATTATTATGTACAGTGTACACATTTAAAACAAATATGACAAAAGAAAAGAAACGAAAATTTATTAATTTACATTATTTTATTTAGGACTTCACTTCGGTCAGCATCAACCTGAATATACATCAATCACCTGCCGGCCTATCCCCATGAACTACAGAATTCTACCGGGATGTATATTTTTAAGAAAATCCAACCCTCACTTTATTGGGGGTAAATAAACAAATTTTGTGTAAAAAAGTTTGTGAAAGGATGAAAAATCTGGCCTTTTCAGATATAATTCTTATAAAAAACATGTCCCAGGAGGGTGTGGGTTAAATCTTAAAATATACATCCCAGTTTATAATCGTTCAATTAACTGTTCATTCAACTGGTCATATTTTTTAAAAATAAATATTTTTTCTATAATTATTTTATTTTAAATTTAAAAATTGTTTTTTTGTTGACTTTTTATGTTTTAAAAATTGCATATTGTGGCTGTCTATTTTTTCAAATATACCAAGCTGTGACTTGAAACCTAAAATTAATTCAGGGAGTAGGGGGATTGGGGCGGAGGTGAGGGGTGGGGTTTTATATTAGAAGTATTATATATGTTTAAATATTTTTTTCAGGGTGAAATTGTTTAATTATTTATCCTAAAGGGAGGCGTGGGGATATACAGGATTAGTCACTACAGGGAGGAAGAGGATTGAGGGAGGGGTGAGCAAAGGTAATCTGCAATATATAATATTTATATAATATTGTTAAAAAGTTGTTAAAAGAAGTTGAATGAAAGACGACATTTAAAATATAGAACACAGAGAAGACGACTAACGTACATAATGCCGCTGTCATACTCATACTTTAAAATATTCAAATAGAATGCTCTTAATTTTTAAACAAAAATTTTGGAATTGTTTATATTTGTGTTACATATTATATAGTTACTGAATTATAGTATATTAATTCTAGGAAGCATTAGGCTATAAAGGTGGAGCACATAAAGTGAACTATATGTTTGTAGAAAGCGACAAAGAAGAAAAACGAAAATTAGAGGTGAAAAAGAAGAAAAAATTTTTTATTTTAGAGAAGAATGGCTGCTTACTACATTGGCAACCGTTGGACTAGTTAAATTGAACACTAAAGTAAACTTTATTAAATGTTTATAAGAGCTAGGCTTTTAGGGCACTATGACCAGGGGGGTCATTGAAAAAATGTAAACATTATTCCCTTTTTATTACTATCCTCATTCTTCAATCTTTGTTTTATTTAAGAATATTTTTCCTAGTATAAGGTTAATGTGTATTTCTTTACAATGTTCATTAAATACATGTATCAAATAATAAAAAAAATAAAAAAATAAAAAAAAATTTAAAATAAATAAGTTGATAAAGTTAAAAAAGAGTTTATATACAGGGTGTTCCAATACACATGGGAATTCAGTGACGAATTAGATATCGTCTTTTTTATGAATTAGCACTGTAATACCTAATTTCAAAAGCGATAATATAATTTTGTCTGCTAGAGTTTATTTATGAAAAGATGTGTTAATAATGTCTCCGCAAGATGAACAGTGAAGACGGACAAGTTTACTCTGTTTGTATGATGTATTGTTTTACTAAGTACAACCTATGCGGTCAAAGCATAAACAAACAAATTGTAAACATAGCAGACGAAAATGTTACCGATCATAGCTTTCTCAGTAGGTATCACTATACTAAATCTAAGAATTATTTAAAAAGACTATATCGAATTCGTCATTGAATTCCCATGTTTATTGGAACATCCTGTATTGAACACTGTTGAGCAAATTCTTGTCATTATTATGCGAGTTCTGGAACTCCTTCAGCTTTGAATATGTTTTTTATAGGTTCCATGCTTAAGATAAAAATAGTATTTATTCAGAGCAGGAATGACTAAATCCGATATTTTTTTTACCATGAAGTCCTAAACCCTGGAGACATTGTGATATTGATTCCATTATAACCGGAGAGAAAAAAGTGTGAAGTTTTTTTTTTTTTTTTTATCAACGCCCTTTAGATTAACTCCTTTCTTGAAAACACATCTGACTGATGTGAAATTAGTTTCGAACCATCTACTTAAATCCAAGTAGACACAATATAGGGGGGGGGAATAATACTGACTCCTTCCGAACACCAGGAGGACAGAACCATGTTGTGGGTTAAAAAAATTTTAATAATCAAAATCACTTTTATATTGAACCATTTAAATGATACCTACAAAGCTTTTTCTTAAACAATACAATTTTTTTTATTTAAGTGTTTGATAAACTATATTTTGGGAAATGTATCATTTATTAATCACAGTTTAAATCACAAATCTCCGATTTCTCAAAAATCTATTAATTCAATAAGAGTGAGAATTGCTAAGAAATGGGTTGCTTCAAACCCCCCTCCGGGGGGGGGGGGGGGGGGGGGTGGTAACCCCAACTAACCAGAGTGAGAAGCATATGATTTCTTTTTTTTGAAATAAAACGTGTTTTTGTCTGTAATTCAACACTCTTTAAACTTACGGATTTGTTTATTTTATACTTTTTCATTCAAAACGTATATGCCGACAAAAAATTATTTGAAAAAAAAGGTTGAAAAATTATGTATATGGGGTTAAATTGTGATCGAAAGTCGCAGCTTTCTGAAATTTTGACAATACCGTTAAATCCACGTGGGGGGTTAGACATTTTATTCCAAATTCAAATTAAAATTTAGAATTTGTGGCTAAGATTTACTTCAAGAATATCTTTTTATTTTGAAAATAAGTTTCTGTAATTAGCTCAGTCCTGAGTCTAATCCTGAGAGGTAAAATTGTTCAAGTGTTTTATAATTCACTCTTTGTTTTTTCAACTGTGAACATTGTTAAAACCTTATCTATAGAATTATATAGATATTTATTCAGAACCCAGAATATCATTTTTTAATGCTTTTAATCCAAATGAAAGAGTACTTCTAAAAGCAGAACTCCAAAGTTCACATACACATTTTATGAGTGAATGCGTAAATTGCTGTTAATAGAGTAAACATATACGTAAGTAATATTTTGCGTTTCGTTTAAAAAAAAATTGCGCAAAATTTTTGTAAATGGAAACCCTACTACAATAAACAACGTAAAGAAAAAAAAGATCCCGGAGTGTGTAAAAAACGTTACATGGTTTAATAAATATTACGACGTTATATTTTTCAATAACTCATTTAATTAGGTAGAGAGAGAATTCAATCTTGAATGAAAAAGAAATAAGATTATATTGATTATTGTTAGAAAAGTACAGGTTACCTTCATTAAAGATATGAAACATGAGTGGTATGGTTGAGCTGTAAAATAAGATCTTAAAATTTTCTTTTTCTTAAAAACACTTCTTGCGGGCGCTTTCAAAAGTTCTGTTAAATCATGAAGTCGTCCCTGAAGTATCATAATTTTTTTTTGAGGATGATTTTAAACTATGCAATAAAAACACAAACGAAGGAATTGAGTCTTTGCCACAAACTCTGATTTTCTAATACCTATATCTTTGCAATTTAATGGTGTAGACCCCAGATATTTCAAACTATTAACTCTGTTAGATCAAATAATCAAAGTTTAAAATATCTAAGGTTTACAGTATCAGGTTTCAAAGATATAGGGATTAGAAAATTTAGTTTGTTGCAAAGACTCAATTCCTTTAATTCTTAAATCTTATCCAAAAAATGATGTAAAACTTGTAAATATGTTTTAAATTTTGTATATTGAAACGATTACGAACAACAAGTACATATAAATAATAGCTTGAGAACCTGCAGCATTGCTCAAGGTACTCAAAGTTACTCCCGCCATTTACCCGCGCTTGGTCGTAAATTTCGATTTTAGCTATTTTTGCTACTTAGCATCTTAGAACCAAGCAAAGAACATTTCCGTGTTTCTTTGAGGCAAATCAGTCAAGGGGTTCCTCAGTTATGATCGGACATACAAACAAATAGACAAACAGAGATTACAACTTTATAGATGTGCAAAAATGATAAAAAAGGGTTAATGCAGAGTATTAAGAACCAACCCAACCTTTCCTTTAATGTTCCCCTGTCTTTCTGATTGTACCTGGCACGCCGGTTTCAAAGTGAATAAATACTAAAGTGGAACAGACTATGACGACAGGTTGGGCCACAAGGTTTTATTTGGTTTGGAAATAATTGCATGAAAAGATTTGGTTTGGAAAGTAATGACTAGAACTAGGACACATGTAAATGTCGTCTTCAGCTAGAACATCAAAATTTTCTTTTTCTTTTGGAAAGTAATGACTAGAACTAGGACACATGTAAATGTCGTCTTCAGCTAGAACATCAAAATTTTCTTAATCAAAAAAAAAAATTCGCATGTTTGTATGTGTTTTATATGCAAACAATACTGGTGCTTAATAAATTCATTGATTTTGTCTGGCAGGCTTACACTTCTAATTCTATAAGAATTTTTCTTAAAAGCTGCTTAGTTTTTTTGGGAAAAAAACCTGAATACGCCTCTCTTAATATCTTTAAAGCTATGTCTAGTTCTCAACTACGTTAATCTGTATTTAAGTTAAATACAAATTATAAGTCTGTGTTTGTAAACAAAGGGAGTCCAGTTTCTGTTGTAGACTGTGCACTCCGTACACACCAATGTGTATATATACATATATATATTTTTTATAATACTTGGGACATAAAATGTCATCATCCAACTATGGGTTTGGCCCACTTTAGTATTTAATCAGTTTGCGCTGGTCTAACAGTTCAGTTCTTATCCCAGTAAACTGGGACTTTCCATTACAATTTGACCTTTATACTTTGCCTTTCTCTTTTATGCCTTTTTGTCAAGCTCAACATGTTTAAGGCAACTAAGGTGACCCAGGGAACTACAACAATTTGTCTCCAAAGTTTTTGATTTTTGTTAAGTTTGAAATTCTACAAAAAAATATGATTTAAATCCGTGATTTTTTTGTTATTGCTCGTAACCCAATGTAAATAATTTAAGTTTTAAACTTTTAAAGTTTACACCATCAGGTTTCAAAGATATAGCGATTATAAAATTTGAGTTTGTGGCAAAGACTCAATTCCATTGCTACTAAAAGAGTATAGTGACTCCGGAAAACTATGACCCTCCCCACACCTGTTTCCCCCCAACCCTCCTAGATATTTAACTGTGTAACAGTTAAGAATAGTTAAAAAAGAGCCATACTTTACTCCCTTGAAAACAAAATCCAAAGATTTTTATTAAAAATTACGTTATTAGAAGTTAGAACAGCTGTATTAAATGATCTGTTATAATAATTGCCTTTATAAGAGCAAATAATTTTGCTAAATTTCATTAAACCTTCTACAGTCAACTGAGAAACAGCTCTTTTTAATAAAAGTCATGCTTCTTATTATTCCAGGTAATCTTTCCCTTATCAGGGACTTGCCTCATGAAGATTAATATTTTACTAATAGGACAGTTCGTGTAATTTCAAGATACTCTCTTTGCATAGACATGTCAATGCTCGATTCAAAACGTTAATCTTTGTCTGATCAATTATGAATTAGATTTAAATGTTTAATTTTAATCCTTGTTTCTCTACCACAGTGACTTACAAGTACCGCAGGTAAAAAAGTAGGAATTAACTGAAATAAATACAATTTAAACCTAGAAAAACCGAATTATTGACAACAAATGTATAAATGGGACATTGCCATAATTGCATGGAGGGTCACTTGAAATTAAATATGCCATACGTATGACAATTTTTCATTTTAGTATTAAGTTTCTTGTATATTATCTAATTATCAGGTGAAAATTATCTGTTACCTTCAGATATATTAGGCCAGAGCTTAAACATTTTAGCCAAATCCGTTGTTTTGGGAAATATAAATATCAGTTGAAAATTTTCAATCTACTAGGACAAACAAACCTTTTATGTTCGATCAAATTTGAAATACATTGTTACCCGCACAATCGACTGTAAAGACGACCGGAAGCTCTTGAACTATGACATCATAATTTTAAATCAGGTCTTCTGCCTTAGATATAGTAATTTAATGGCTTATTTAATGATTAAAACGAAAAACATATTTTGTAGTTGCAGGGAATCATAAATGTAATACAATAAACCGTAAAACAATTTCGTAGAGTCGTCTCTGAAGTATCATCTTTTGTGGGTAACCCTGTACCTTTGGAAATTCTCTAAAACCCTTAGTTTTTTCCGATTGATTCCAGAGCCTCATTTTTTATTTTTACATTAAATGTGCTCAGAATTTCAAATCTAATGAATTTTCTAGAACGCATTGATTTTGAATTGTCGCAACACTTTGGCCTGTGGTTTCTATATCTTGTATCTAACAAATAGAATATATTATCTAGTATCTAATAAATTTAGTATACAGATAGAACACTAGATGTCGTCTGTTCAAGATTTAAGGATTTTTCCTTCACAATAACCCTGAGGCAGAGGCCCAAAGGAGTTCTTGTAATTCACTGCTGCCTGCGTGGAACTCCTTTGGGCTTCTGACTCAGGGTGGTTGTGAGCGAAAAACCCTTAAATCTTGAAAAGATGACATCTAGTTTTCTATCTGTATTGTTATTAATCTATAGACCGTTTTTTATTTTCGTATCATGAGTGTATTTTTATATATATACCGATACCTGAGCCAAAAGTAATTATATTTATCTAATCTTAATCTGACATTTTTGCATCGGGTAGCCTGAGCCAGAAATTTAAAAGAGTAACGTTGAACGAAGTCTTCGAGTTCTTTTTTGGGGTATTAGCACTTGTGTAGATTCGAAAAATATGGAGAATATGAATAAACTAAATAAAAAATATTTCATAACAAAAATATTGATATCCACAAAACCGCATACACCCATCCGTTTTCACAACGATACCCTGCTTTAAGTTTTGGGCTCTGTTGATATACAGTGGACAAATCGGGTTCAACTTTTTAAATCTACACCAAGTCGATCTTGGAATCTATATAGACAAGTCTAGGAATCTATATAGACAAGTCTAGGAATCTATATAGACAAGTCTAGGAATCTATATAGACAAGTCTAGGAATCCCAGACTTTAAAAAATTCCCAGCTACGTTATAAAACTTTCTTTTGAAGTAAATGAAAAAAATTACGTAAAAGTAAATTCTGTTAAATTTCAATATTTAAAGAGTTCTGCAAACTCACAAAGTTCCATAAAATTACTATTACGTGAAAAAATAAGGTCGAATAATTAAAGGTTTGATACCGCTAAAAGGAAATGACTCTTTTCCACAAACTCTGAATTTTTAATCCCTATATCTTTGCAACTCGACATCGCATATCTTAGATATTAAAAACTACGACATATAAAAGGTTTACTCCATCAAGTTGCAAAGATATAGGGAAGAGTAAATTTGATTTTGTGGCAAGGACTTAATTTCTTTAGCCCTGTTTTATTCCCAATGATTCTTTCTCTGATTATAATATTTCAGTTGTGTGTTTTACTATGATTGTTGGTGCGACCGCCGAATGCTGCCAAAAGAAAGTGGTTAAAGGTATATATTGTAACATCATTATTGATAATAATAATGATATCAAAGATATTATATACAAACAATAGTCTAATACAAATTTATGTTTAGATTTTACCGATCCTAGCTTGATAGGAACCTACTACTTAAATAAATACAAGACCTATTCCGAATGCAAAGACGACTGCGTCTACACAAAGGAAATTTTCATTCTTTTACTTAGAAAAAGGAGAAAAGAGTGTTTTAATGCAATAAGGTTAAAAAAAAAACTATTTTAAACACTTCTGAAATAAAATGGTGTCCAAAAGATATTGATGAAGGCAACCCTATATAGCGTGTATTCATTAATCCTTAAAGAAACTATGAAAGTGACCCCTGACTCACAGTGTTACCCTTTGAAATGCTGTGTAATTGCAGTGAAATTTACGTGTATTTAAAGGGAGTGTTCACGAAAAATTAAAGGGGGTCTAGGCCTACGTCGAATAATATTCGATGGTGATTGCTACTAATCTTATTTCTATCTGTTGCGTATAAAAGGAGAAAATTCTTAAAAGCGACTAATACAGTTGCAATATTTGATTCGGATCGTAAAAAATCAATTTCATTCCAAACAAATCATTAAGATATGTTACAACCTATAATCATCGATTTTTTTTTCGACACATTCGTAAATAATATTTCAAAATACATTTAATTTTGTTTTTGTATAAGTTAATATTTCATTTGCAACTTGTTTTCACGGCTTGGATTTTCAAATATTCCTGGAAAATATGAAAATGTCGTCTTCATTATCAAAAATTCTCGAAACAGGAATGATATGTTTTCAAAAGTAACTCTAAGATCATAAAACCTCATAAAAGAACTATCTCTTAGAATCCGTTAGAAATAGCATTACTAATTAACCTATTAAGCTACCTTTCTGGTGTTCAAGTCTATAGTAAAAGAATGGTTTGTAGGATGATTCCCCTGGGAATCTGTACTGCTTCGCAGAAGTTCCAATAGAGGATACCGCTGAAGTTAATTGTACTTTGGTAATATTTTGATATTAATTCAATATATTTTAATCAAACCAATACTATCTTGAAAATTCATTCCTTTGAGTCATAGAAACACAATGCCCCTTGGTTTTTTTAACAGGAATAGTAGGACAAGTGTCCTAACTACTGATTCAGAAATAAGACAAGAACTTTTTTAATATTATACATACATAATTTAGACGATTAGTCAAGAAGAAATTGATGCGGCTAAAGCAACATTAGCAAAACTAAATGAGGCTGAGAATCTTCTTCTTGCCATTGCAGAACTAGTGGCTAACCTTGGAAGAAGGAAAAGAGACGCAGTAGATGATGCAGTAGCTGATGGAACGCTATGTGATAAAATTGTTGAATGGATGAATACAGCTGCTGCTGCAACAGACATAACAGTGAAAGTTGAATACTTTTTACTCGTTAAAGCTGGACTTGAAAGAGCTGGCGCAACATGTACATCAATTAAATCAACGTTACAAGCAAAAGTATCCGCTGAAAAGGTAAAGGTTCAAAAAGAAAAGATAAGAGTTCAGGCAATGATTCCACCACCAGAGCCAACAACTGAAGCTGATAAAACAACTATTCATTCTACAATAACTGAAGATGCTTCACCAACTTATCCTTCTACAACAACTGATACTCCTTTAACAACAACAACTGAGCTTCCTACAACAACTACAACTGCTACACCAGCTGAAGCTTATACATCAACTATTCATCCTCTAATAACTGAAGATACTTCACCAACTTATCCTTCTACAACAACTGATACTCCTTTAACAACAACAACTGAGCTTCCTACAACAACTACAACTGCTACACCAGCTGAAGCTTATACATCAACTATTCATCCTCTAATAACTGAAGATACTTCACCAACTTATCCTTCTACAACAACTGATACTCCTTTAACAACAACAACTGAGCTTCCTACAAAAACTACAACTGCTACACCAGCTGAAGCTTATACAACAACTATTCATCCTATAACAATAGGAGAAACCCTCGTAGATCTTACAGATTCTGCTACAACAACTGAAGCTTAACATCTAACCTTTGTCATCTGAAAAAAAGAAAATATTTGAAAAAGCAATTAAAGATTTTAAAATTGTGTTTAATTTAAATATATTTAATTATTGCCTTAAATATTAATCGTTTTTGTTTTTCTTTAGAATTGGATGTGTGCAAATTGCAAAATTAAAAGATTTCTTTATTTTATATGTTTTTGTTTTTGTTTTTGCACCCAATAAACATGGAAGTTAAGAATATTCTAAATTAAGAAAAGTATTTGATTTCCTACAGCTAATGATCGAATGGCCCTGAATATATTAATCGAATGGCCTTGCACCATTATTTTAGTAATAATCTTAGCTTTAGAGCCTGTGTGTTAATTCGCCACGTTTTCATTAAACAAAATTGTTTCCGAATTTTTTGGGTCAATTTCATGGATTTTTTAAAAACGTAACTGTTGACATTTTTTTCGTCAACAATTTTGAATTTTTGCTATCCATAAACATCCGAAAAAAAGTCTAAAAGTTTTCCCAAGTTTAAGATTATACATTTATACATTTGTATACAAGTCCATTTTATTTAACACTTTCCTCTTACATTTACAGTTGTCATGCTTTAAGATATATTATAAAGAAATACACATACTTTTAGAGTTCCTTAAACTAGCGTTGACATAAAAACTATTTTACCTGCATATTTACAATTTCTGAAGGAAAATTTTATGTGATTTGACTTGCAACTTGATGGTCCTTTTACAGCAGTGTTAACTATTAACCTGAGTCCAAAAGTCAACTTCCCATTCCAGAGTTTTCTGGTTAACACTGTATTTCATTAATTCAATTATTTAACAATATCTGCCCTGTTTCATTTTAAAATCTTTAACAAGTTTTTTAGGTTTTTACATATATGTATAATATCATAAAAAAAAAACATAATTTGTTATTGTTCATTTAAAATGCTGTGTTGATGACAGTTCAATGATATGAAATTAAGCAATACAAATATTGTATAACACTTAACGAATTTAAGGTTGAAAAGTTATTGCTGGTATCAGACTTTTATAAACAATAACTGTCTGATACACCAGATTTTGTTTTGAGAGGATAACCTTGTCTACACGTAAAAACCTCTATATCTTTGTAACCAGAATTATTTCAGCGCATTCACTGATAGAAGATTACTGCTTTGCAATAAATTTGTACCATCATTTATTTCACAATAAATGACAAATACGTGAGTACGACCTTTCCAGGGGGGTTGGTGATCTACTATTGTAAACTTCATGTGCTATTCCATCTACTCTAGTAAACTTCATGTGCTACTCCATCTACTATAGTAACCTTAAAAGCTTAATTTTTATAAATATTTATTAAAATTCACCTTTTGTGTTCAACTTAACTCGTCCTGCAGTTGCCAATATATAAACTTACATTAGTAGTTTAAGTTTTGTCTTTAGCATTTTTCTCCTCTAATTCTTCTTATTAATATTTGTCTCTATCTACGAAGATATATTAAACTTCATGTGCTACTCCATCTACTATACAGTGGTAGACGATAATATCAATACAATGAAGACAAATTATTTATTTAAGTTTTGATTGTTAACAAGCTTTTATCGAAATACAAGTTTACATTTAGTCAAAGAGAATCTTTTTTAATTGACAGTGTCTCTTCACTTTGATGTTTATGTGTATCTATGCTGTTCAACGGCTTGATATAAATCAAAATTGAAATCGACAGTCGTCTTCATTGTATTAAGAAAATCGCCTACCACTCTAGTAGACTTCATGTGCTACTCCATCTACTATAGTAAACTTCATGTGCTACTCCATCTACTATATAGTAAACTTCATGTGCTACTCCATCTACTCTAGTAAACTTCATGTGCTACTCCATCTACTATATAGTAGACTTCATGTGCTACTCCATCTACTTTATAGTAAACTTCATGTGCTACTCCATCTACTATTGTAAACTTCATGTGCTACTCCATCTACTATTGTAAACTTCATGTGCTACTCCATCTACTATTGTAAACTTCATGTGCTACTCCATCTACTATTGTAAACTTCATGTGCTACTCCATCTACTATTGTAAACTTCATGTGCTACTCCATCTACTATTGTAAACTTCATGTGCTACTCCATCTACTATTGTAAACTTCATGTGCTACTCCATCTACTATTGTAAACTTCATGTGCTACTCCATCTACTATTGTAAACTNGGGGGGAGAGAGGAACGCCCTCTCTACCTCTTCCAGTGATTCTAAATAATAGAATAGATATAAATTTGTTTGTTGCTCGTTAGAGGTTAATGGTTTTTGAATGGACCTGTATTTTCTATCAAACTCAACGCTATAAAACTTATAATAGTTAATAGAAATATGGACGTTTAGTATATCAGATAATTGTATACCTGAATATTAACACCACGTAGCTGTTAGTGCAAACTGAAGTATCTGAATCAGTTTTATTGTTGTACTATATACACTATACATATACCGGTTTACAATCAGGATTCTATGTACAGAGCGTCCCATATCATATTAGATTATCTCCAATCTTTAACGCCAAAATACGCACATAATACTTAAAAAATCTAGCACTTTCTGCAAAAAGAAAATTCTGTTAGCCTTATTAAATTTTTCAAAATGATTCATTCTTCTTAAATTTTCTGATTTGTCCCCCAAATCGTAATTTAGACCCATTGACGTGTTCTAATTTGATGTGGGACACCCTGTATATAATACATCCTTCTCCAGGGTCCCTGCAGTACAGTAAGGAGCGGGGGGAGAGAGAATATACACACATTATGTTCATATTCCTTTGTATTGTACAGCTTGTACAACAATAAGTTAAACTTGTGTTTCAATAAATGGTTAAGATCAAGCAGATTACCAATCACGTGAAATTCAGCCTTACTTGTGTTTAACCCTATTCCTGCTGGGGGGGGGGGTCAATTTGACCCCCCGTAGTTTTTTTTAATAGCTCAAAAAGTATTGGTCTGAGGCTGTTGAAATTTTCTGACTTTTCCTACATTCCCAAAGCCCTCCCTTTAGGCCTAAAACCGGACTAGTACTAACTGCCTGAGTCCTCAGGCACACTGCCTGAATGACTGCTTTTTCCTGTTACAAACTAAATCTTTGTTTTGACCCACTTCCACTTGTCAGATTTTGATAAAATTTAGCTTTTTGGAAAGCCCTTGACATAAGAAGAAAATAAATTGCACAAGTTTTGCGAAACATTTTTACTATAAAACTGGATTTTGCGATAAAAAATTCAATTTTTGCAAATTTGCAAATTTTTTGCAGATTCTAAAAGTAGAGCACAAGAGCTTTCCAATGATGTATCATTTGTCATATTTAGACATAAAACATGGGATTTAGAGGGGGGGGGTCCATTAATTGCCCCCCCCCCAGCATATCCAGGTTTTCAAGTACCCCAGCAGGGATNGGGGGGGTCAAATTCCCCCCCCCCAGCATATCCAGGTTTTCAAGTACCCCAACAGAGATAGGGTTAATGATGACAACCTAAGTAAAGATTCTGTTACCTGGAGGCTGAGGGGTTTGAAAGAAGAAAACACGAAGATCTCTATACTCACTTCTATCAAAACTAATGGATCTAAGCAAATAGTTGTCAGAAGCGTCAGGTTCTATTTTAAACACAAGGTTCGTTTGATTGGTATCTCTGACTTGCTCTGATGTAACTAGTAGACACAAGTTTTATGTTCAATGGAGGAGGTCATTAATTGACTTTTTTGATGGAACACATTGGAACAAACCATCCCAGGTTTTCTTGGGGCCCATGAAGTCCAAATATGAAGAAAAAAAACTTTGGGCCAGCAGTCTTAATTCTCCGAATTACATTTCTCATTTTATAGTTAAAATGTAAGACAAAATTTCCCCAAAAACGTTTTTTCTGCATATCTATTCAGTTTAAAATTTAAATAAAATTTGCGAAACCGAGACCAAGACCGAGACACCCCTCCAAAAATTCTAAAGAGACATATAGGCTTTCTTGATTTTATGATAGGTCAAATATTTCAGAAGATAAGGGTAGTGGTACTTTAAAAATCAAGAATTTGCCTTTTTTGGATCTTTTAGTACCTAGATTTAAGCATGATTAAATTAAGTTTTAAAATAAAGCAATTGATTTTCTAAATCTTAAAAGCCCTGAGAGACCTGATAGGAGATAATTTGACGATGATTACAATATAAATATTTTTTTTGGGCATAATAAACAGATTTTAAAAATAATAGAAATTAAAATTTTCAGAAAAGGACGACGACATTTCAAATATTCTTTCATAACTTCTTTTGAGAATTATCATTTGTTTAATATTACGATAAGTTGGTAGATCTGAAGCTGGGAAGGGGATATATACTTCCCCCTAAACCTTTTTTGAGCCTTAGCTCTAGTTTTTTCCTTCATTTAAATTGTAACAAATGAACTGCAAACCAAACCAAACCAAAACGTCATTGCGAGTTTTACCAGTATAGCGAATTTGGCGTAGGTCAGAAGTGGAGTATAGCGGATTTTCGTAGGTCGAAAAATACACCATGGTAATGTTACATCGTCTATACGTAACATCCCCCCTACTGAACAATTCCGACCTACTGCAATATCGGACCTACGCCAGCTGTTTATTTTTGTATGATTTGAGAGTTAGGTTAGGTTAAGACAATTTCTGGGCAGAGCGCTGCGGCTAGGACAGGCTAGGGGGCCGAGCGCCGCGGCCAGGACAGGCATAGGGGGCCGGCGCTGCGGCCAAAATTCCATATAGCAGCTGTAAAACCACATGCTAGTAGGTCGGATGTGTAGTATAGCGGATTTGGCGTAGGCCAGAAGTGGAGTATAGCGGATTTGCGTAGGTCAAAAATACACCACCGTTTTACCGCAACCGCAATACGTTACATTCTGAAACTAATGTCGTCTTCACACATAAATTTTAAAAGCAATTTTCGTACTTTTATGTTGAATTTAAAGATTCTTTCAGAAATCAATTAATTTCGCAAATAATTTTGCATACCCTACTTAATTTTGTTATTTTAGTACGTTGAG